GTGGGGGTGGCACCGGGGTGGCAGAGGGACAGTGGGGCACAGGGGACGTGGGGAGGACGGGGTGACGCTGGGGATAGCAAAGGTTCACCGGGAACATGGGGGTGGCAGAGGGTGACCGGGGACATGGGGGTGGCCCCAGGGTGGCAGAGGGTGACCGGGGACATGGCACCTCCCGAGGGTGCCCGAGTGTGCCGGTGTCCCCAGCCCCGCCGGTGTCCCCAGCCCCGCCATGCAGCCCTGCCTGCTCCTCGCCCTGGCCCTGCTGGGCACGGCCTCCGCCAGCCACCCCGGTGAGTGCCCACGACGATGCCCACCCCGCGGGGACACCGCGGGGACACCCCCTGGTCCCCCGCACCCTGTGTGCCCGGGGTGACGCCTGCCGGTGCCCCCAGACGCTGCCAGCCCCGAGGCGGAGGAGACGGCGCTGGAGGTGCGGGAGGAGGACACCCGGTGCCCGCTGGAGAGCGAGACGCGGGTGCTCAGCTTCCACGACCCCCTGGGTGCCACCACCTTCCGCTACGTCATCGTCCCCCAGTACCGGACCTTCTACCACGCCCAGGTGGGCAGGGGAGGGGCAGGGGGTGCTGGTGGTCAGGGGGTGCTGCCTGCCGCCCGGGCGTCCCCATAACCGGTGCGTGTCCCCCTCCACAGCGTACCTGTGCCCACTGCTACCGCGGGCAGCTGGTCTCCATCCACAACTACCGAATCAACGCCTGGCCGCAGAGCAGGCCCCCCAGCCGCACCAACGCCGGGCAGGTCTGGATCGGGGCCATCACCCAGCCCGTGGTAAGGGACCCCCCCCGCGCCCGCCACCCCACCCCGGCCTCACGGCACCCTGCCCGGCCCGGGGGCACCAGCCCTGTCCCCTGTTCCCAGTGCCCATCTTTGGGTACCCCAGCCCTCTCCCAGTGTCCCCAGTGCCCACCCTGGGCGTCCCAGCCCTGTCCCAGTGTCCCTAGTGCCCATCCCTGCATGCCCCAGCCCTGTCCCAGTGTCCCCAGTGCCCACCCTGGGCGTCCCAGCCCTGTCCCAGTGTCCCCTGTGCCCA